ATGGCGCGGTCGGCGCGCGGTGTGGGGTTGCGCCGCGCCACGCCGCGTTGCCGCGAGCACCACGACGACGGTGTGCCGCCCGCTCCGCGTCGAGGCCAAGTAGGCCGGGAAGGAGGCGGCGGCGCGGCGGAGCGAGTGGCTCAAGAATGCGGGCCGCTGGAGCTGCTGGGTGGTAATTACTGCTGATTGGCTGTGTCGCCACTCGGGCCGACCGGGCCGGCCGGGCAGCTGCATCCCCAAGAAGCCCCTCGTGCCCCCATCGTTTGCACCCCCAACAGATTCTACGCCCCCTCCCCCACCCCCGCCCCCGCCGCCCCCGCTGCCGGCGCCCAGCCGTTTTATACCCACCGCTGTAATTTATGGGGGCCAGTGGATTAAGCCGCCCCCTCCCCCCACCCCCTCGTGCACCACGCCAGAGAAAGTGTCTGGGCGGCGGCAGGGGCGATGAATATGCACGCTTTCCATAAAAAAGGCAATTTCAGTCGTTCGGTACCGGCTGATCGAGACAGCAGTCGATCGCCGGGCGGTTTGGGGCGCTGCTCTCCGCCCCGGTCCGCCCCGGTCCGCCCCGGTCCGCCCCCCTCGACGCCCTCGGCGCGCAGGGCCCTGCAGACCGATTCCGAGAGTCGATTTCGTCGCTCTGTCTCTGTCGCACTCACGGGGCGTCGCGTATGGGTGCGAGGAAGACTGGGCGACGAAAACGACTCTCGGAGTCAGTCTGCAGGGCGCGTGGCGGGGCACGCCGACGCGCTGAATGGGCGCATCGGTGTCGAAGGTCGTGTCGACACGGCCGTACCGTCCCGTCGTCCCGTCCCGGGGACCGGACTCGTTTTTACGCCGCCTTCCGCGCCGCCTCGCCATCGCCCTCCTGACCCTCGGCAAGTTGGCCAACTCTGGTAATTTTGATGAGAGACCGGGCAAAGCAAGGCGCCATCGTCCTTGAGGCGGGGAACACGCAAAATTTAATTTGGCTGCGAGCCGCGCGCCGTGCCGTGCCGCCCCAGTGGCACTCATGTGCGCGGGGCGGGGCGAGTCCTCCAGCGGGCCGTGGCGGCAGGCCGTGGCGGCAGGCCGTGGCGGCAGGCCGGGCCCGCGGCCCCGAGCACGCCCAGCAGGGCGTACTTTCTTAACTTGCGCCGCTGCGCTGCAGGAAGGCCTAAAGTATTCAGGATATGTGTTGTAAGTAAGAACGGCGGCCATCTTGGCGCTGCCGCGGCCGCTCCGCCCCGGCGGCGAGGCGCCGTGGAGGCGCGAAGCAGCGCGAAGCGAGCAAGACAAACTACTGGGAGTAGCGGCGCAAGGCAAGCAAGGCAAGCTCGGCGAGTCGCGCGGCGCTACAGCAACGCGATCCTGGCCATGGTGATTGATGGCGTTGACGTCGGGGCGGGGCGGGGCGGGGCGGGGCGGGGCGGGGCGTGGGTGCAGGCCGTCTGCAGCTGGGTCGCACTCCCATTGATTGGCGGGGCAGCCTCCCTGCCTTGGCCTGCAGGACCACTCACGTCCGCGGCCAGCTGACATCGGAATAAGGAATCTCCAGTCGGCGGTCCGCCCCCCCCCCCCCCCCCCCCACCCCGGACATCCTGAACCAGCCGAACGCCCAGCCCGCCCTGCACGGCCTCGGTGGCCCGGCCGCCTGCCCTACCCGTTCTCCACGTGACTTCCCGAAACCCACTCGACCCGCGCGCGGCTTGAATGCCAACCAGTCTGGAACTGTGTCGCCGTGGCCGCCGTGGCCGTGGCAGTGCACTGTAGTGCCCCGGGCAGTTGGGCGCGGCAGCTTCTTTTTCGTGTTACACGGTTCGAAATGATGAGAAAATTCCTTCCGGGCCAAAGTTGGAGGGCGGGTCCTCAAAACTCGGCCGGGCGGACGCTTTGCGCTGGGGCGGCGTGGCGGCGCGGTCCCCGGGGCCTGGGCTGGCCTGGGCTGGCCTGGGTGTCGTGTCTGGCGCTGGCTTGTCTTTTGCCTTCCTGCTTCCGTGATAAGGGCCCGTCTCGTCCCCGCGGCCGCCGTGCCGCCGCGCCGCCGACCTGGAGCGCCGCGCTGGAGGAAAATAAAATGAGCTTACGGGACGCGGGGAGCCGCGCAGTCTCGCGAGGCGCGGGGGCGTCAGGGACCGCGGCCGCGGAGTCAGGCGGAGTGCGTGCCGGGCTGGCGGACGGACAGGGCCGCACGCAGACAGGCAGGCAGCACGGTGGATATTCAAGCAGATGGAAAGATAAACGGATGACACCCTTCACCCCCAGCGGCAACCCCAGCAGCAGGAGCCTAGCGGCAACCCTAGCGGATCCACACGCAAAAAAATATTTTTCAGATCAGTGCTAAGCGATTTAGTGGGGATTCGGAGCAGCAGAGCTAAAAAATTAGCACAGGTGCTAAATGATGTAGCTGGAGGCCAATATGATTTAGTTGGGGAGTTCGCGATTAGCAACAGAGTTAAAATGTTAGCACTACGATTAAAATTTTAGTTGGGCCTACACAGCTAACAGTTTTAGCACCCGAGCTAATTTTTTAGGTGACCCTCGAATTATTTTTTTGCGTGCAGGACAACGTCACAGATGTAGCCCGGCTGGCTCCGCTGCTTGAATCAATGCCCGAGTCTGCCCGCCTGCCTGTATTTAATTAGGCTGAGAATTCCGCGCTCACCGTGGCCGGGCGGTGCCTGGCAGCCCGGCGGCCCCTCTGTCTCTCTCGCACCCATGCGGGACGCCCGGCCCACGAGTGAGAGAGAGACGGAGACAGAGCCTGCAGCCCCGGCGCCTCGGCGCTCGCTCACTGCGTCGCCCTTTGACGATTTCCCCCACGAGGGCGGCGTGTGTCTCTGTCTCTCTCTCTCTCTCTCTCTCCCTTTCCCTCTCCCTCCCTCCCTCACCCGCACGGCCCGCACCCGCGAATCTGGCGGCGCGGCGTCTGCTTTGCCTTGCTCCATCATTTCACAATCCGCGTCCAGGCGTGGCGTGGCGGGGCGTGGCGGGGCGGGGCGTGGTGGCACTGGGTCCCGCGCGGCGTCTCTGACTTTCACAATGGAGCAGGGCCAGGATCCGGCGCCTCCGAGTAGTGTCCTTGGTGGCGGTAATTTGCAAAATTTCTACGCCAGCGTTTCACCGCGTTCAGAAAACGTTCGAGATAATAAATTTCAGCAAATGAACTGATAATCTTTCCGAGCGGAACGCTCTTGGGCATATGCTGTGCGCGTCGCGACGCCGTACTTACTCATGCTCGTCGCCATGGTGATGCCAACAACAACACGGTGGTGTTATTGTTTATCCTCGCGCTAACTTGTGTGTGCCGTGCGTCCTCGGGCCGCTCAGCCCTTATTCACAACGATGTTCCTCGCGGCTCGGCGCGCCACGGGGCCCTGTCGGGGGGAGGGAGATCAACCATTAGGCCGCGGTGGCACAGCCCGGCCTGCGGACTGAGAGTCGTTTTCGTCGCTCTGTCTCTCTCGCACCTCTAAGGGACGCCCCATGAGTGCGAGAGGGACGACCGACAAACGACTCTCGGAATCAGTCTGCTGGCGGCGAGTCGATACGCAAAACTCTTTGCTCACTACATGGCGCGGGGCGGGGCGGGGCGGGCTGGAGCAGTGGCCCCACAGGGCGGCATCATGCGAAGGACAGCCGACGTGTCGCACGTCGCGGCGACGCTCCCGGAAGGCGCTGACAGACGGGCCGGCAACGATTGCCCACTGTTGGCTCAACAATTTGCCCCATGCCGGGTATCACAACGAACTGGAATAGGACTTTACCGTGTACGTTGGCTTTGAGTCTTTTGGTGTTGGGGAATTACGTTGAGGTCGCAGGATTCAGTCCATGGTCGAGGCAGGGCACGTTAACAATGCTGCAAGCGTCATATGAATTTAGTTTTATCTTTTCCTACTTTCTTCTGTCTTTTACCCATTTCTCTTCGCTGCCTATGGTCACACTGGCAAACGGGAAATAACGACGATATTGATTTGCAGCAGGCTCACGTGCTTGCTTACGTGGTGGCACTGCGAATGTGTGTGTGTGCCTGTCTGTGTATGACGACTCGACACAATTTGCTCGCGCTTCGCCCTGGCGCTTCGCCCTGGCGTCGCCATGGCGTCGCGAAAGGGCGGCCGCGACTGCTGTTGACTTTATTGGTCAGCCCTTTGCGTCGCACCCACACTGTAGCTGTGCGTGTGGCACGCGCGCTGACGCAGGCAGACGCAGGCCGGCCTCGCTTCGTGACAGCTTGATTGGGCAAACGATGCGTCCGCAGGGATGGCCGCGCCTGCGCCGCGCCTGGCCCTGCCGGCCGACTCTTTCTGAGAGTCGTTTTCGTCGCTCTGTCTCTCTCGCACCAAGGCGGGACGAGTGCGATAGAGACGGAATGACGAAAAAGACTCTCGGAATCCGCCGCACAGCGAAACGAAACGTAGTCAGCTTTCTGCTCGCGGAGCGCGGACCTCGCAAGTCCCGTCCCGCCCATTGATTTTCTCATCACCCACGGGGAGGTTTTGGTGTAACAGCCGCGCGCTGGTGTGAGGGCAGACCACTGAAAATCAAAAAGTTACAATTATGACATTTTGAGGAGCTATGCAAAAAAGTATCACAAAAACGGGCCACACCGAACACGAGCAACTGAGAAACGCCAAAGCGAACTGGCTGATTTAGGTAGGAGCGTATCAGTCGGAACAGCCTAGCCTAGGACAAACAACTTTCACAGATCATCAGACACATGTAACGGCCGCAGACTATTTTCAGTGAAGAATTTTTGAAATGTCGAACTAGGGCCAAAACTGACATGGGGTTTGTGTGCGTGCTGCCCTGCAAGCAAATGACGGTAACGAAGCTGGCAATGGGTATCGAACCCGTGTTGAACAGAAAGCCAACGCACTGGGGACAAAAAACCTTGCAAAAAAAAAAAACAATACTTGAGTTGTTTGTCATGATCTCCAGGTGCTTTGCTCATGTCAGACAAACATGTACTAAATACTATCAGTGCAAAAAATTAAAATTTTTTTCTTTGTGTGTTGCAGCGAGCGCGCTGGCCTGGCCATCGTGGTCCTGGCCGTGGCGGTCCTCAGCACGTCAGCGGCGTACAGCGTGGACACCCTGCCGGGCAACACCCCGGGGGACCTGCCCGGCGACCTCCCTGGCGACCTGCTCGTCAACTCGATCGTCAACCCGCCGGACGCGGGCATGGAGGCGCCGGACGACGCCGAGGACGAGCCGTCAGGTGGGTTGGCGTCAGTTGGCGTAGCGTAGCGGTGCCTCGAGCGGTGCTCGCGTTGTCGCGGGGCTCATCTGCTCGCGCCGTCGTCACGGTGTCACGTCGTCATCAAGTGTTCGCGCCCTCATCGCGGTGCTCATGATGCCGTCGGCGGTGTTCTCGGGCGCCGTCGTCGCGGTGTTCACGACGCCGTCCTCGCGGTGTTCACGACGCCGTCCTCGCGGTGTTCACGACGCCGTCGTCGCGGTGTTCACGACGCCGTCGTCGCGGTGTACACGACGCCGTCGTCGCGGTGTTCACGACGCCGTCCTCGCGGTGTTCACAACGCCGTCCTCGCGTCGCGTTGCTCACGGTCTTGGCGTCCTCGCGGTGCCCGTGATTGACACGGCCTGAGTGCTGCAGCCGCTGCTGCGTAACGACGCCAACATACATCACGCCCTCGCCGGGCTCGCCGCACGCCCTGTGCCGCACAGCGCCGCGTGTGACAGTTCATTAGTCGATTCCGGACGAGTTGTCTCACTCGCGCACCACGCAAGACCGGCGGCTGTGGATGACGTGCAAGGCGATACCGCGGCAGGACCCAAGGCAGGACCTTCCCTGGGAGGGAGGCGGAGACACGCCCGCCGTGCAGCAGGCTTTCAGCTTTCCTCCGCAGGCTTTCAGGCGCGGCTTTCGCCGGCTTTCAGCGCGCGCATGGCAGTGATGGCGTCGCGGCGTTCCGCAAGGCGTTCCGCAAGGCGTTCCGCAAGGCGTTCCGCAAGGCGTTCCGCAAGGCGTTCCGCAAGGCGTTCCGCAAGGCGTTCCGCAAGGCGTTCCGCTCCGCGCGGCTGAAGCGGGCGTTAATCACCGCCAAACAGCTGCCGGTGCTCACGGTGGTCGCCGAGGCCGTCGCCGAGGCCGTCGCCCGGCCTATGATGAATCGGCAGCCTTTGTCGGAGGCATTGCATCAACCGGATTGGCTCCGCTCCGTCGCGCGTCTCGCGAGCCGAGCGGCCGAGGCCTATTTGCGTATTGTTAAACTTGTGAGCCTTGGCCCGGCGGCACGCCGCACGCGGCACGCGGGGGGTCTGGCTGCGAGTCAACAAGGCCATGAGCAAAGATGCCTGGCCGCCATTGTTAGCACGGAACCCTCTGGATCGACTTCGGCCTTCGGTTGCCCCGCCATGCCCCGCCATGCCCCGCCATGCCCCGCCATGCCCCGCCATGCCCCGCCATGCCCCGCCATGCCCCGCCATGCCCCGCCATGCCCCGCCATGCCCCGCCATGCCCCGCCATGCCCCGCCATGCCCCGCCATGCCTCGCCTTCGGTTCGGGCCGCCGTATATTTGCCCTGGCCGCGGGTTGCGCGGTGCGCGAGCAGCACGGTGTGTACGTCGGCCCGCCGAGCGCCCGCCCGTTTCGGACTGCTGTACTGTTCGTGTTCATTAATTGGTTTCGGCCAATCTTTGTAATAAAGTACGGGTCTAATATGGGCCGAGGGCCGAGGCGGGCGGCCAGGCGGGGCGGCCAGGCGGGGCGGCCAGGCAGGGCCATTGCCGGGTGATGCGCCCCTTTGTTATGGCCCGGGCTGGCTGCTTGCCTGGCTGGCCGCCTGGGCAGCTGCACCGTTATCTAAAGTGTGCTTGGCTGTGCTATGCGGCCCGTAATAAATAGCGGCGTGCCAATGACTAGGCCGCACGCCGCGCGCTATAGGTATCGAGGCGCACTTTCGCCGCAAAATATATTGGTGGCCGCGCAACAATTCAATCCGTTGCGCCGCGGCCCGTTTTTTTTCGTTCATTATGCGCGCTTTGTATATGGCCCGGGCTGGCTGCCTGCCTGGCTGGCCGCCTGGGCAGCTGCACCGTTATCTAAAGTGTGCTTGGCTGTGCTATGCGGCCCGTGTAAATTAGCGGCGTGCCAATGACTACACACGCACGCCGCGCGCTATAGGTTTATCGAGGCGCACTTTCGCCCGCCAAAATAATAATATTATTGCGTGGCCGCGCAACAATTCCAAATCCGTTTGCGCCGCTCGCCCGTTTTTTTTTCGATATCAATTAATTGGCGCGTAGTTTGAATAAAGCGATGGCCACGAGAGCGAGGGAGTGGGCCGAGGAGCGGGCTCTGACTCTCTTTCGGCTTTCGGCGAGAATGATGGCGTTGTGAATCGCTGCGCCACGAGGACAGCCTGTCCTGTGTCCACCTCGGAGATGCAGCACTGTGTTGCTTTCGGTTGCTTTGCAGGGCTCTGCAGGACTTCGTCGTGCTGGCGAGCCTCTAGGACTCGCTCTGGGAGGTGCTGCGCGTGCTGCGGGAAGGGCTCCACTGGGCTGCTACACTGGCGCACGGCTATTCCCGGCTGCTCTTGACCCACTAGGGCGCTGTCTCTCTCGCACGCATGGGGCGCCCAGTAGGGCGTCGCTCGGCATCAGCCCGCTGCCGCCGGGCTGGCGGCTCTAATGAGGTTCTAAACAGAATCAGAGAAAGAAGCGCGGGAGACGGGCCGGCCGGGGCGGGGTGGGTTGAGACGCCCCACACGGCCTGTGGAGGCGGACGCCCCCGGAAACAGCGCAGCAGCGCATACTGCACAGATATTGTGCGCGCCGCTGGGGGCATAACACCCGCCCCGCCCCGCTAACCCCGCCACGCCCCGCCACGCCCCGCCCCGCCCCGCCACGCCCCGCCACGCCCCGCCACGCCCCGCCCCGCCCCGCCACGCCCCGCCACGCCCCGCCACGCCCCGCCACGCCCCGCCACGCCCCGCCACGCGCAGCGCCTTCACATTGCAGCCAGCCACGCATACTGCCCCGGCCTGTGGGGCCTGCAGGGCCTGCAGGGCCCGCCCGCAGCGCTCGGAGAAAAAGCAGCTGCCTAACGCCAGCTGACTTGAGAGCAGCGCGCATGACTTTACGTCGGGCATGCAAGCAGCCGTGGAGCGAGGGGCGGGGCGGGGTGGGGCGCCCGCCCGCAACCGTTTGCTTTCCTTGGAAATTGCTCGCAACACGAACGACGTCCTTCCCGCGCTCCTTCCTACTCTTTATTACGATTCCCACTCCCCTCCCCTCGCGGCGTAAATTGGCGTCCAAAATGAGCTTTAATCTCTACACCTCTTTTTCCCTTTCCCCGCGCACTTTCTTTTCTTTTTCCCTGCCGGGCTGCATACGCCGCCGACCCCGCTGCTCCGCTGCTGCACGCTCATCCCGACTCAGTGCCCTCGGCCGGACCCCCTCCCCACCCCCTCCCCACCCCCTCCCCACCCCCCTCCCCACCCCCTCCCCACCCCCTCCCCACCCCCTCCCCACCCCCTCCCCACCCCCTCCCCACCCCCTTTTCATCCCCTAAAAGGAACCCGTATAATTAGCGTTTCTTCCCGCGCCGAGCCGTAATTCAAAACGAGCTGCCCCGCCGGCCCTGCCCCGCCGGCCCCGCCCCCATTCCTTCACCGACTGGCGGACTAGCAGACTAGCACGGGGCGGCACGGGGCGCGCCATGTCGGACGCATCGCGCACCGCCGCGGCATGCGCGCTGTCTGTGGCATGATTACACACCATCCCGACGGCGACAGTAAAATGTTGCGGCGGCGGCACGCAGCGACTGGCTTGGCGGGCTTCGGCTGGCTGGCTTCGGCTGGCTTCGGCTGGCTTCGGCTGGCTGGCTTCGGCTGGCTGGCTTCGGCTGGCTTCGGCTGGCTGGCTTCGGCTGGCTGGCTTCGGCTGGCTTCGGCTGGCTTCGGCTGGCTTCGGCTGGCTGGCTTCGGCTGGCTTCGGCTGGCTGGCTTCGGCTGGCTTCGGCTGGCTTCGGCTGGCTTCGGCTGGCTTCGGCTGGCTTCGGCTGGCTTCCTCGCGACTACTCACTCGCACTGCTCCGCTTGCTCCGCTTGCTCCGCTTCGACAGCCGCCCCGCCACAGTCACGCCTCCAATGCCGTCGTCGTCCTGTTTGAATTGTGCAAAACCACTCCGAGCACGGCCGCCTTCCCCTCCCCGTCCGGTCCGCGCAGTTCCCTCACCGGGAGAACAATTTTCCGATTTTCAATAACGACCTTGTTTGAATTTCATGAAGACGTAATCCCGGGCAGCGAGGCCAGGCCGCCGGGACGCCAGGGTGTCGCCGTCTCGCCCCGCGCCCCGCGCCCCGGCCCACCGCGCCGCCGTGCCGTCTGGCGGCAACGTCTGTCTGTCTGTCTGTCTGTCTGCCTGTCTGTCTCTCTGTCTGTCTGTCTGTCTGTCTCTCTGTCTGTCTGCCTGCCTGTCTGTCTGCCTGCCTGTCTGTCTGTCTGTCTGTCTGTCTCTCTGTCTGTCTGCCTGCCTGTCTGTCTGTCTGCCTGCCTGCCTGTCTGTCTGTCTGTCTGTCTGTCTCTCTGTCTGTCTGCCTGCCTGTCTGTCTGTCTGTCTGTCTGTCTGTCTGTCTGTCCGTCCGTCCGTCCGCGGCTCCTCTTTGCCAAGGGATGGCGGTGGCGACGGCGTCGTGCTCGGCGACTCCTACAAGGAAGGCATCCCGTTTGCGGCGTACACAGTGAGGCGAAAACATTGTCACACTGGGGCGGGCCGGGGTGGGCGGTGGTGGCGGGGCCGCCCTTTGCGCGTTGCCGTGCTCGCTCTGCTCTGCTCGGTGTGCACGCGGCGGGGCGGGGCGGGGCGCGGCGGGGCGGGCGGCAGCCCTTAGAAATCCGCACTCGCGTGTTTTTCGCCTCGCATACCTGTTGACAAGTCGGGGATTTATGCGGGGCGCGTTTGCCGCCGTCGTGGTGGCCGAGGCCGTGCCGAGGCCGTGCCGAGGCCGTGCCGAGGCCGTGCCGAGGCCGTGCTGCAGACTGGTCGCTCTGTCTCTCTCGCACTCATGCGGGGCACCGTGTAAGTGCGACAGAGACACGGCGACCAAAATGACTCTCGGAATCAGTCCGCTGCGCCGGTGCCGAGGTCGTGGCGTGGCCCCGGCCGTGTCGCAGCCCCGCCACCGCCGTATCGGCGTGCACCTGGGCTGGGGCGGCAGCGGCGGCAGTACTGCCGGGCCACTGCAGCGTTAA